GGTCCGGCCCCCCGGATCTCCCATAGTGCCCCCTGGATCTCCCATAGTGCCCCCCAGCTCTAGGGGTCCTCCCCCCAGCTCTAGGGGTCCTCCTCCTTGGATCTCCCATAGTGCCCCCCAGCTCTAGGTGTCTGGCCCTCCGGATCTCTCATAGTGCCCCCCAGCTCTAGGGGTCCGGCTCCCTGGATCTCCCATAGTGCCCCCCTGCTCTAGGGGTCAGGCCCCCCGGATCTCCCATAGTGCCCCCCTGCTCTAGGGGTCAAGCCCCCTGGATCTCCCATAGTGCCCCCCAGTGCCTGGGGCAGGTTGGGGGAGGCCTGTGTTCTGTCTCACCCATTCTGATCCCTGGGAGATGGGCCTGGCGTGGGTTTGTGATGGAGTGGGGATTGGGGGTGTTAATCTGCTTTGCCTGGCAGCCTGCCCTGGCCCACCCCTCCTGGCACCCCCATGCAGCGGGGGAGCAGTGGGGAGCGGGGGACCCCTCTGCGCTGGAGGCGGCTCCCCTCTGCGATCACTTTGAAAGGGGGTTTGTTCTGGCCAGATCCCTGGGAGATGGGCCTGGCGTGGGTTTGTGATGGAGTGGGGATTGGGGGTGTTAATCTGCTTTGCCTGGCAGCCTGCCCTGGCCCACCCCTCCTGGCACCCCCATGCAGCGGGGGAGCAGTGGGGAGCGGGGGACCCCTCTGCGCTGGAGGCGGCTCCCCTCTGCGATCACTTTGAAAGGGGGTTTGTTCTGGCCAGGTCCTGCAGGCTGGGCGGGGCTGGGCCCAGCTGGGCCCAGCTTAGGGCTGCTGGGTGTCCTGCGGGGGTGGGGTGGGGGGTGGAATTTAAATTATGCAGCGAGACTCCCTGGGGCCATGAGTGCCCCTCCGCCTCCGCCGCTCCTCCCCTGCTCTGGGCCTCGGTTTCCCTATCTGATGACGCAGGATCCGAGCGAGCCCTGTGAGCTCTGGCAGGCAGCCTGGCACCAGTGCCAGGGGGCTCTGCGCCCCGCACAGTGGAGCTGGCAGCGTGGGGGCTGGGCCACAGGGGAGCCGGGCTCCACACAGACCCTGGCCCTTCGCTTCCCTGCTCTGGTCATGCTGTGGGGCAAGGGATGCTCGGCCGTGGGGGGCAAGGGGAGTCTGGCCGTGAGATGTGGGTCCCTCCCCCTCGAGGAACCCACCTGTCCATGTCAGCAGGGGCTCAGCACGTGCCACCAGCCCGGCGCTTCCTCTCTGAGCCGCTCGGAAACCCCCTTCGGCCAGGAGGAGCCTCAGGTCTCAGCCCCCGGCCATCTGGGCTGTGGCCACACTCTGGGGAGGGGCTGCTGCTGTGGGTGCCAGTCCCCCCCGGGAGCCGAGCCCCAGAACCTCTCTGCCTGGTCGGGGGGCTGGGGGTTTGTCCCACTGCAGGAGGGGGGCTGAGGCCAGAGGTGGCGAGTGGCCTGAGGAGGCCACAGAGGGCCCAGCCCATGGCAGGCGCAGTGCTGGGAATTCCCTGCCCGGCAACTTGTTTTTCCAGCTCTTGCCACCTCCGGGCATCGATCACAGGGGCCCAGAACAAACAATAGCAACTTGGCTGGTTCCCGTAAACATCCACCCGCTGCCGCGCGGCCCAGCCGGACGTCCAGACAGCTCGGCCTGCAGGAAACCGCCCGGCTCAGGGCTGGCTCCAGGCCACGGCCTGTGAGAACGGGCAGAGACCGCACAGTGCTCCCCAAGCCCCGCACAGTGTACCCCAGCTGCTACCCCAATCCCAGCCCCCGCACAGCGTACACCAGCTGCTATTTCAGTCCTAACCCCTGCACAGCGTACCCCGGTTGATACCCAATCCCAGTCCCCGAACAGCATACCCCAGCTGCTACCCTAATTCCAGTCCCCGCACAGCGTACCCCAGCTGCTATCCCAGTCCCCGAACAGCATACCCCAACTGCTGCCCCCAATGCCTGCACAACGTACCCCACCAACTACCTACAACCCCAGCTCCTGCACACCGTAACCCAACTGCTCCCCCATCCATGTGCTTCACCCCCACAAATCCACATCTTCCAACCGAATCCCTGCCCTTCTGGAACTTGGAGCCCTGTGCCTGCTCCCACCTCACCCCAGCCGCTCCCCTTACAGCCCCAGGCTGGGGCCGCTGCAGAGCCGCAGGTGCTAGGAGATGGGGGGGGCTCGGAGCAGCAGGGACCTTTGTGTGGTGTCATCTTCGGCATCCATGTCTGAGCCTTCTCGGGGGCCGTGGGCACGTGCGATGGCCGTGCTGGGAGCAGTGAGGTTCAGGGGGGCTGGGAGTCAGGACTCTGGCAGGGGCGGGGGAGGGAGCCGTCCCAGCAGTGGGGCTGGGCACAGGGGGCCCGCCTGCCGCACGC